TGTGCAGTGCTGTGCTGGTGTGCAGTGCTGTGCTGGTGTGCAATGTTGTGATGGTGTGCAATGCTGGGTGCTGTGCAATGTTGTGCTGGTGTGCAATGCTGCATGCTGTGCAGTGCTGTGCTGGTGTGCAATGCTGTGCTGGTGCACAATGGTGTGTGCTGTGCTGCTGTGCAAAGCTGCGTGCTGTGCAGTGCTTTGCTGGTGTGCAATGGTGGGTGCTGTGCAGTGCTTTGCTGGTGCACAATGGTGCGTGCTGTGCAGTGCTTTGCTGGTGTGCAGTGCTGCATGCAATGCAATGCTGTGCTGGTGTGCAGTGCTGCCTGCTGTGCAGTGCTGTGCTGGTGTGCAATGCTGCACACTGTAAGATGCTGCACAGTGTGCAATGTAGTGCTGGTGTGCTATGCTGCATGCTGAGCAACACTGTGCTGGGATGCAATGCTGCACACTGTGCAATGCCGTGCCATGGGGTTGTGCCACACTGCAGACTGTGCATGACGCACATTGCTGCATGCTGTGCAACACCACAAGGGTGTGCAGTGCTGCATGCCGCAGCACACATCTGTGCAACACTTAAATGGGCTGTGATGGCACCCAGCTGTGCAATGCTGCATGCCACGTGATGCTACAACACGGTGCAGCATTGCACCCCAATGCAACGCTGCACTGCCATGCAAACCCTGCACTGCTGTGCAATGCTGCAACACGGTGCAAAGCTGCGCTCCAAGGTTGAGGCCCAGGGATGGGATGCAGGAATGGCTGCTGAAAGTCTGTAAAGACAGGGGAATTGTGGTGGGATGGGAGGGAATTCAGGCCAATGGGATTGGGGTGAACCCAGCAGGGCTTGGGGCCAGGGCCAGGATGAAATGAGGACCCAGAAGGGATGGGAGGAGGAGCAGGACATATAGGACATATCCCCCATAGACTGGGGGATATGTCCTATATCTATGGACATATATATGTTATATATGGGGGACTATGGGGTCCCATATGTGGGACTGGCTATGGGGACTGGCTTGGGGTGAGATAGATAATGGAGGAGGATGGGATGGGGATAAGATTGGGATGAAATGAGGACCCAAAAGGGACGGGAATGGAATGAAGATGGAATTAAGACCCCAAAAGGATAGGAACAGGACCAGGATGGGGACCTGAAAATACGTGAATGGGACCAGGGCAGAATGGGATGGAAACTGGATTGGGATGGGATGGACACAGGAGCAGGATGGGATGGGGACCAAGATGAAATGATGACCTAAAAGGGATGGGAACAGAAAAAGGATGGGATGGGGATCAGATTGGGAAGGGATGGGGATCTAAAAGGGATGGGAGGGGGAACAGGACGGGATGGAATGGGGATAGGATGAAATGAGGATCTGAAAGGGATTGGAGCTGGACCAGCATGGGATGAGATGGGGAGTGGAACCCAAAAGGGATGAGAAGACGACCAGAAGAGGATGGAACTGGACGAGGATGGGGACTGGGTTAGAATGAGGACAGGATTGGGATGGGGACAGGAGTGGGACATGGAGGGGACCTCGTTTTGCTCAGCCCCAGCTCCCATGGAAGCGACCCCACATTGCTGCCCCTCAATATTTGCCAGCCCCAAATCACAGCACAGCCACAGCCTTCTGAAAAAGTGTCCTTTATATCACTTAAATATCTATAATCCAGGTATTAAGGGGGGAGGGGGGGAAAGGAAAACAGCTGATCACAATAACATATCATAGAAATCAAAATTAATTTAAACCACACAAAATAAATTAAAACATTAAATATTAACCTTCAGTGCAACATATACAGAAGACATTGAGTAACCATGACTAAAAAAAACAAAACAAAACAAACCCAAAAAATAGCATCGGGTTGGTTATGATGGGGGCTATGGAGAGGATGAAGGGGTGGGGAGGGGGTTGGGGCCTCCGTTTTGGGGGAGGTTTCTTAGGATTATGGTTCACTGTATTATTACTAAAAAGAGCTGATCTGTCCCCAAAGGCGCTGCGGTGGCTTCGGGAACGGCCGAGGGTTCGGCGGCACTTGTTGTGGTAGGCACATAGAAAAATAAAGCTGAGGGGATCTCTTGTGTGTTTTGGTTAGAAAATGGGGGAAAAGGGGGAAAAATAAGAAGGGGGAAAAGGGGGCCAAGCACGGGGCCAGAGGGGCGGAACGACGGGGGGAGAGGGGAGGACACAACGGGGGGAGAGGGGAGAAAGGAAGGAAAAAAGAAAGAAAAGGGAAAAAGGGAACAAAGAGGGCAAAAAGGAAAAAAAAAGAAGGGGAAAAAAAAAGGAAAAGATAAAGACAGGGAAAAGGGAAAAAGGAAAAAGAAGAAGGGGAAAAAAAGGGGGAAAAAAAGAAGGAGGAGGAAAAAAATAGAAGTGTTTGAGGAAAAAAAAAAAAGCCCAACCAGCACCCAGTGATGCTTCCCAGGAGCCGGCAGCAGGGGGGATTTTGGGGTGTTTTCCCCCATTTCCAGCACTCTGGGCTGTGGTGGTGGGAGGTGGATTGTCAGAGAGACTGGGAGCACTGGGAGAACTGGGAGCACTGCAGCCGTTGCGGTGCTTCCCCCGCTGGTGTTCCCCAGAAAGGGAAGGAGGACAAAAAGAAAGGGGGAAAAATAAAGGGGAAAAATGGGGAAACCAAAGGGGAAAAAAAGGGGGAAACCAACGGGGAGAAGCGGCGTCTGTGTCCCTCTGGGATGCGTTGGCTCCGTCAGACAACTGTGGGGGAAGGAGAGGGGTTATGGGGTTCCTGCATGGGAGCTGAGTCAAAGGGTCCCCATGGTGTCCCCAGACCCGTGTCCCTATATTCTGGTGTCCCTATAGTGTCCCCATGCTGTCTGCACATCCTTGAGTCCCCAGCGAGCCCAAGTGCCCATGATGTCCCCACATCCCTGTCCCCACTGTCCTCACATCCCTGTGTTCCCATGCATCCCCATGGCATCCCCATGTCCCTACAGTGTCCCCATGTCCCTCCATCCCCATAGTGCCCCACATTCCTGTGTTCCCATGGTGTCCCCAAATCCCTGTATCCCCATTGAGTTCCCATGGCGTGCCCACATCCCTGTGTCCCTATAGTGTCCCCATAGAGTCCTAATGTCCCCAGACTGTCCCCACAGTGTCCCCAGACCTCTGTGTCCCCACATCCTATGTCCCTATAGTATCTTCATGATGTACCACATCCCTGGGTCCCCATAATGTCCCCATGGTACCCCCACATTCCCACAGTGTTCCCATGTCCACATTGTCCCCACAGTGTCCCCACAGTGAGCCCAGATCCCTATGGTGCCCCCACATCCCTGTGTCCCCATAGTGTCCCCGTGGTGCTCTCACATTCCTATGGTGTCCCCATGTCCCTATAGCGTCCCCATAGTGCCCCCACATTTCCTGCAATCCCATGGTGTGCCCACATCTCTATGGTATCCCCAAATCTGTGTCCCCATGGTGTCCCCTTATCCCTCTGCACACATGGTGCCCTCAACATCCCCACATCCCATAGTGCCCCCAAAGTGTCCCCACATCCCTGTGTCCCCATAGTGCCCCCACATCCCCATAGTGTCCCCACAGTGTCCCCACATCCCTGTGTCCCCACAGTATTCTCATGGTGCCCCCACATCCCCATAGTGCCCCCACGTCCTTACGCCCCCACGTCCCCATGGTGCCCCCATGGTGTCCCCACATCCCCCCAGTCCCCACAGTGCCCCCACATCCTTATAGTGTCCGCACATCCCTGTGTCCCCATGGTGGCCCCACATCCCCATAGTGCCCCCATGTACCCCTGTCCCCATGGTGTCCTCACATCCCTCTGTCCCCATAGTGGCCCCACATCCCCACAGTGTCCTCACATCCCCCTGTCCCCATGGTGTCCACACATCCCTGTGTCCCCATAGTGCCTCCACATCCCCATGGTGTCCCCATGTCCCCATGGTGCCCCTATGTCCCTCTGTCCCCACGGTGTCCCCACGTCCCCCTGTCCCCACGATGCCTCCGTATCCCCACAGCGTCCCCACATCCCTGTGTCCCCACAGTGCCCCCATCCCTTACCACTCTCAGTATGGCAGCAGGACGCTCCACCCTTCAGCAGCCCCGACGGTTTCTCCTGCCCGCACAGCGGCACCCGGCAGCACCCGCAGCGCTTCCGCAGCCGGCAGCAGCTGTGGGACACGGTGGTGATGCTCAGCACCCCACACCTCCCTCCCGATCCCACATCCCCAACCCTCACCCCACTCACTGGATGAGCACGCAGGCTGCGATCAGCACCGCCGAGGCCACCACGGCCACCACCAGCAGCGCGGTGATCGTCTGCTTCTTCTGGTTGGCAGCCACCACGGCCAGCAGGTCTGCGTGCTCACAGCGTGTCCCCACGTAGCCTGAGTGGCACCTGCAGGGGTGAGGAAGCGGTGGGGAAGAGTTTGAGCCCTTTTGAGCCTCATTTTGGGTGCTGTGCATGGCCAAACCCACATGAGGTGGCTTCAGCAGCCTACAGAATATGGGGACGTATCGCACTGAGGCACATGGGCAGGGATTCTGTATCTCTTCCCAGGGTGGCAGCAGCTGCTGGACCCGGCCTTTGTCACCAACAGGTCCTTGGGGCACCCCCAGGTCACTCTGGAGCATCCCTGGGTCACTTCATATCACTTCAGGGCATCCCTGGGTCACCCTGGGTGGCCTCACGTCACGTCAGGGCATCCTTGAGTCACCTTGGGGCATGATCTAGGTGGCCCCACATCACCTCAGAATGTCTTTGTGTCCTCTCAGAGCATCCCTGGGTGGCCTCACATCACCTCAGAATGTCCTTGTGTCCTCTCACAGCATCCCTGGGTCACCCTGGAGCATCCCTGGGTGGCCTCATGTCACCTCAGAATGTCCTTGGGTCACATCCATATCACCTTGGAGCATTCTCATGTCACCTTGCAGCATTTCTAGGTCACACCCACATCATCCCAGAGCATCCTTATGACACCCCGTGTCACCTCGGAGCGTCCCTGGTTGGCTCCATGTCACCTTAGAACCTTCATGTGTCACCCTGTGTCCTCTCAGAGCAACCCTGCCTGGCCATGTGTCACCTCACAGCATCCCTGGGTCACATCCATGTCACCTCAGAGCATTCTCATGTCACCTTGAAGGACCTCCATGTCACATCTATGTCACCCCAGAGCATCTCTGGGTCACCTCAAAGCAACATAGGTGACCCCATGTCACCTCAGAGCATCCCTGGGTCACATCTATGTCACCTTAGTACACCTCTGGGTCACCTTATGTCACCTCAGAGCATCTTCATGTCATCTCAGATCATCCCTGGGTCACACTCACATCACCTTGGAGCATCCTCATGTCACCTTGAAGGACCTCCATGTCACATCTATGTCACCCCAGAGCATCTCTGGGTCATCCCACATCCTCTTGGAGCATCTTCGTGTCCCCTTGGTGCATCCCTAGGTCACCTCATGTCACCTCAGAGCATCCTCATGTCGTCCCATGTCACCCCAGAGCATCCCCAGGTCATCCTGTTTCACCTCCAAGCATCCTCATGTTGCCTTACGTCACCTGGGAGCATCCCTGGGTCACACCCATGTCACCTGGGAACATCCTCATGTCACCCCATGTCACCTCGGAGCATCTCCATGTCACATTTATGTCACCTCAGAGCATCTCTGGGTTATTTCACATCCTCTTGGAGCATCCTCGTGTCACCTTGGTGCATCCCTGGGTTACCCTATGTCACCCCTGAGCATTCCTGGGTCGCTGCATGTCACAGGGGAGCATCCTCATGTCATCCCATGTCACCTCAGAGCATCCCTGGGTCACATCTATGTCACCTTAGTGCACCTCTGGGTCACCTTATGTCACCTCAGAGCATCCCTGGGTCACCCCATGTCACCCTGGAGCATCTCCAGGTCACACCTATGTCACTTCAAAGCACCTCTGGGTCACCCCACATCCTCTTGGAGCATCCTCATGTCACCTTGGTGAATCCCTTATGTCACCTTAGAGCATCTCCGTGTCACTTTATATCACCACAGAGCATCCCTGGGTCACATCTATGTCACCTTAGAGCATCCCTGGTCACCTTATGTCACCTCCAAGCATCTTCATGTCACCTCAGAGCATCCCTGGGTCACCTTAAGTCACCATGGAGCATCCCTGGGTCACCTTATGTCACCTCAGAGCATCCTCATGTCACCTTGGTGAATCCCTCATGTCACCTTAGAGCATCTCCAGGTCACTTTATGTCAACTCAGAGCATCCCTGGGTCACATCTATGTCGCCTCCAAGCATCTTCATGCCACCTTAGAGCATCCCTGGGTCACTTTATGTCACCTCCATGCATCCTAGTGTCACCTTAGAGCATCTCCAGGTCACTATGTCACCTCAGAGCATCCCTGGGTCACATCTGTCACCTCAGAGCATCCCTGGGTCACATCTGACACCTTAGAGCATCCCTGGGTCACCTTATGTCACCTCCATGCATCCTCATGTCACCTTAGAGCATCCCTGGGTCGCTTTAAGTCACCATAGAGCATCCCTGGGTCATCTTATGTCACCTCAGAGCATCCTCATGTCACATTAGAGCATCCTCATGTCACTTTATGTCACCTCAGAGCATCCCTGGGTCACATCTATGTCACCTCCAAGCATCTTCATGCCACCTTAGAGCATCCCTGGTCACCTTATGTCACCTCCATGCATCCTAGTGTCACCTTAGAGCATCTCCGGGTCACTTTATGTCACCTCCAAGCATCTTCATGTCACCTCAGAGCAT